GGCAGCCCCGCCGCGCCGCCCCAGTCGGTCCCGGACGCCCCTCGGCACTCACCCCACTTCTCCAAGCCTCAGGCCGCACCCTAACGAGGCCGCTGGAGCTCCGGCTCAGGGGCCAACCTCTCCATGGCGGGATCCGCCGGACTAGAAGCGGGCGGGGGAGACAGCGGCGGGGATCGCGGCCCACCCCTCACTCTCTCCACAGCCGCTTCCCCAAACCCCCGCGGAGCTGACACATCAACAAAGATGGCGGCGACACTGAAGCCGGACCGGCTACAGCTGAGGGGGCGGGGCTTCCCGAAGGAGCCAATCAGCACGGCGCAGGCGGCGTGACGCCACTCACCTTGAGGTGCGAGGTAACCTGTCTGCAGTGGGCGGGGCCGGCACCGCGCCGCCTCCTGCCTGGCGACCCCAGGAGGTCACACCGGGCTTTGAGCCTCGCCGGGCATCCACGCCCCAGCCAACCCCGCAAGCCGCCTCTCTAGTCCTTAGACCTGTCCGACCGCTCACACCCCTCCCCGGCACGACGGGGTGGCTTCTTTCGGTAGGAAGCGCTCAATGGGGTATTATGTCTCCTCCTTTGGCCTGTGCTCGTGTGAGTCAGAGGCATAAAACAATAAAAGAATTCGAAATAGTGGTTTCCCGGCTCTGACTCTCAAACTTTGCACCTCACATGGGTGGGCGGAGACCACAGTAGCAGCCTACCTGCCCGTTTGACAATTTGTCCCTGGGAGAGACCTCCGGGAGGTTTCCATAACAGCAGAATTCGGATTTTCAGAGTGGCAACTACTGCCATTGTTTAATAATAAAATGTTGGCGCGTTCGGCTCCTGAAAAGGACTAAACGCCTTTAGGGCTGGAAGTAGCTTTTCCAGCATGCTGCAGGGCCACAAAAAGGGTATGGAACATTGTTGCTAAGCAAGGTCCACACAAGTTAAGTGAATGGTTTTAGTCTGCGGAAGTTTGCAAACCTCCTCTCTCCCGTGAAGCTGTGTTCTTTGGTTTAGGACCTCTTAAGCACAACTCTTGAGTGACCGTAATTAATTCAGACGAATTTACTACGGGGATTTGGTGAAGACAAACTTACTACCATTCTGTTAAACTTTTTTTTTCATACTAGCTGAAAAATTATCCCGATGCCTAACTTCTGTCCTTTTCAAAAAGAAATGGCACCTCCCTCCTCAAAGGAATCGTATTAAAACACACTTTGCAGATAGCATGTTTGTGATGAAGAAATTATTTGAATTTAAAATAATAAATCAGGCAAACCTTTTAGTGTTGGGGCAGGGGGGAATCAAAGAACCTAAGTTGTTTCGGTACTCTTCTTGTCAGTAATGACATTGGCATTTGTTATTCCTGAAATTTATTTCTGAACCTATAAGTAGTACAAAGCATATATGATGTGTCTTTCAGAACCACGTTTTTCACTATAAAAGAAATAGAAATACGAAATAAAATGAAACAATAAAATTATGCTTATATTTGAATATTTAGAAAAATGAGAATGAACTCAATGCATTTTATTTTTTCATTAAGAAGTTTGGGGGCTGGGGATGTAACTCAGTGGTGAAACACTTGCCTAACATGCCAAACCCTAGCACTGAAGAAAAAGAAAATTAAAAATCTGCTCACAGAAAAGGCCTAACACAATAACCAACCTAATGCATACCCCCTACTCTGCAGACTATGATCTCTAAATATCATTTCCCACTAAAATGTACCTGGACTGAAAAAGTTACAAGGTCTGATTCCAAATTTGAGGCAAAAATGTACAAAATAGGCTTGGGGAATGTTGGTTATGCTACTCAGATGTGGGCTTCACATAATGGCTTCCTTCATAAGTATTTAGTGTGTGTGTGTGGTGGGTCCACAGAGTAGAAAAATCTAATATATCTCAGCAAGATAATCAAGTCCAACGTCAAATGTCCTAATTCATGTGCAGGGCAGACTTGGTGGCACAGGTCTGTAATCCCAGTAATTTGGAAGGCTGAGCAGGAGGATTGAAACTGTGAGGTCAGCCTCAGCAATTTAGCAAGACCCTGCCTCAAAATAAAAAAGAGCTGGGGATGTAGCTCAGTTATAGAGAGCCTCTGAGTTCAATCCATACTGCCAGGAAAAAAAAAAAAGTAATACTAAGTTAGAAATAATGTTTGTAGGATATACAATTGATATGATCAATGAAAATAGCACTTTATTCCAATAACCCACGACTCCATTTCTATCATGAAAAGGATATCAATAGTGGGGCCAGCATCCTGCAAAAAGCCTGACTCCTGGTCATCAAAGAAAAATTTGAGAAACAGCCACAGACAAAGAGAGCCTAAGGAGACATAACTAAATTAATGTAGTATCCCGGTTGAGATCCTGATTCCAAAAAGGGACAAGTAGCTTAGGTAGGGGGGAGAACATAAGGAAATCTGAATAGACCATTGACTTTAGTTAACAATATAGCAAGATTGATTCCTTAAGTGTAAGAAATGTATCATACTAATTCAACACTTTAATAATAAGGGAAACTCTGTACCTTCTTACTTATAATACACGTCTCCACATTTCTTTAAAAAAAATACACTATATTTTTTAAAAAATACAAGTCTGGTATTTGTATCAAAACGTTGTAGTGACTGGAATGCAGATGTCCCCAAAAGTGATCGTGAATTGATAATGTTGAAATTAGGTGAAAAGTGCATTGGGAGTATACCATTCCTTTGAATATGTCATAAAAGTTTTATACCAAAAAAATAAAGATGTTTGAGCAACACCAACAGATAGAATCACAGATAGAATCACCTGCCCTTAATTAGACACAAACACCCACAGCAGGTGAATTCACTCTCCATGACCAGGCAGAAGTGGCCCCTCAAAAGACTTTCAAGTGGCCGAAGGGATCCGAATGATTTTCACAAACAAACCGGAACAATAACTTTGCCACGTTTGGGCAGAAGCACCTCGGCACCCGCAGCCCCAGACCACCCTTGATCAAGCTCAAGGCCACAGCAGGCGCCCAAGGCCCAGAGCGCGGCTTCCAGGCCCAGGGAGGGCGCACGTGGGGCGTGGCGGGCGCACGTGGCGCGGACTGCGCAGGCGCCGCGCTGGAACCGCGAGGGCCGGCTGGACTTTAGGGGCGAGGGGAGCGCGGGGAGAGCACCTGGGCCGCGGGGCTCCCGGCACTGGCAGCCTCCACCACGGCCAGGCTTCAGAGACAGGTTGGGGTCAGCGGCCCTTTCGCCTCCTTCCAGGTCAGGGTTCCCAGGCGCCAGGGTGAGGGAGAAGGGCTGTGTGAGGGTGACGGGGCTTCCAGTCGTTGGAGGCCGGACGTTGGACGCTGGACGTTGAGGTTGGGCGTTGAAGTTGGGCGTTGAGCGGGTGGGTAGCAGGCCTGGAAGTGGAAAGAGGATGGAAGGGTAGAGGAGACCTTGGAACTTTGGCTGAGAAGGGCAGATCTAGGAGGTGTGGGTGTGGGCGGATTCCGTGCTGGTTGGAAGGACCCAGGAATTGGGGTGCCAGCCGGCAAGGGCCCTGCTGCTGTTTTGGAAATAGTACTTGGCAGGCACGGATCCCCACGATGTCAACGTTCCCCTTTGCTACAAAAGAAATTTGTGATTCCATTGCTTAAATTCAAAGCTGGAGTGCAAACATTATTAATTACTTAACTCTTCCCCTAACACCTTCTATAGGAGAGGAAGTTGCACCACCACATTCACCGAGATGTGAGTGAGCCGGCGCTGGTTTGCCTAACAGGTGTTTGTAGTGCCTGCTGTGTTCCAATCGCTTTTCCGAGCCCCTGCTATAAATAACGTTTTCTGTCGGACCTCCGGAGTTAGAGCAGGTGCTTTTAGTTCCCTAGACGAGACACCACGGTACTGCATGCAAATTTGCACAGCTATGGGTGTCACCTGGGTAAGGTGCTGGACCAGGGACGGTGGGGTGAGGATGGGGAGGTGACAAGTTACTCAACTTCCCGTTACTCGTTTTTGAGGAACAAATAGACGTTAATCTTCAGATTTTCATCTTAAACATGCAAACTCGTTCCTCATGGGAAGATACTTGTTTGTGGGAGTGGGATATTAGAGCAGAGGGCTGGGGTTGTAGCTCAGTTGTAGAACTCTTGCTTAGCCTGTGGAGGCTCTGTGTTGCCACCCCCAGCATGAGGAGGAAGTTCTTGAGCAGCAGCCACCCCACTGCAGGGGCAAGTTTCGGTACAGTATCCTTTAATCTCCGTGATTTGGATTTATGAGGAAGTTACTACTGCTGTCCTCACTTTACAGTCTCTGAATGAATAGTAGACAAATGAAGTGATTTGTCCAAGACAGCAAAGTTAAATGAGGACGCTGGGACTCGGAGGATCTGACTTAAAAACTCTTTATCTGCTACCCCCACTGAGCTTTGTAATTTTAAGACAATGCTTCCTTTGAGTAGAATGGCTCTCCTTGAAAGTTTGGGATTACCAGGAAGATAAAAGCAAACTTTAAAAAGGAAAACCATTACATCTAAGTATCTCTGCATGCACTTTTATTATTAAGAGAAACAATAAGGGTTGACTTGAGCCCTGGGCACTGTCAGGAATCTGCCAGGAGAAGTCGGAAGTCACAGTTTATGCAATACGGTTTCAAGATTAAAACATACCCGGTGGTTGACTCTGGATTAAGCTAAATAGGTATAAATGCAAAGTCTTATGGGTGTTTTTTAAATGTAAACACAACCCTAAAAGCCTGATGAGTCCCAGTTGTGGTAGTTAAACAAAAATCTATATGTTAAAATTCATAGAACTGTAAATCAAAAAGAAAAAATCAACTTAATGGTATGATAAATACATGTTTTTTTAAAAATCCAAAAGTTTTTAAGTGATGGAGGGTTAGATTTGGATTCAAAGCAGTCCTGGCTATTTGTTCCAAATGCTAATGCATGAATGGAAGTAAAAGTATTCAAAGACGGGGATGTCAGGACTTACCACCTGTTTACCTGCAGTCTTGTGCTCAGCTGTGAGAGTCAGCTGTATGAGGGTGTCTGATTAACTAGAGAAAGTTTAGAATATTGAATCTAAGAGGTGTTGTATGAGCAAGTGAAGGACCTGGGAGAAAGGAAGATTCATGGCTGTCTCAGATGTTTGAAAGTTGGGTCAGAGGCAGCAGAGTAAGTTGAGAAGAGAACCATTTTATTAAAAAAGGAATATAGTACCCTTGGCTGTGCCCAAATATAGTATGAAGCTTCTGATCCTGAAATGCACTGTGTGCTTGTCCTGGAAAATTCCTGAATGTGGTGAAGCAGTGAGGTACCCTTCAAACCTGCATATTCCACGATAGATGGACCTACTTTTAAATTTAAATCCTCTACTTGCTGCCACAAGTTTACAGTGAGTGTAAGACTGATACTATTCTTAAAGTCAAATATATTTACAGAACTTAGATTTGGAAGTGTGAGGCATGAAGTTCTGCTATTAAATTTCAGTAAACCTCATAGTATCTAATTCACCATTTAAATCATTTCATCAGTGAATTTCATTCTTGTCCAGGTTGTCATGAAAATTGTAGTACCCGTAAAATAGAAATAGCTTTGGAATGTCTTATTGTACAAAGTACCTTGCTGGGGCGAAATTAAAAATAAAAAAATCTTTGATAAGACATGGTCCCTCCACTCAATCAACTTAAAATAACTTAGAAGACTTACCTGTCTGTGATTAACTGGCAACCTTAATAAATAAGGGCAAGTTATGAAAGGCTGTCTCGGGAGTGCTGTGCAGTGTACTGAAGTGGTTCCACTGGGCAAGATGATGCCTTTATCGCAACTATATGGTTTAAATATTACTGTAGCCATTCTATGCAGAAAATAACAGTTACATCAATTTGAAATATTTAAAAATGTACAGATGAGGTTGAATGTTTCCCCCTTATGTCCATCAACTAATAATCCTTTTTGTATGACATTCGTGCCTTTGGTGCATTATTTTATTGGCATGTATATTGATGAACTGCAAATAACAGAAAACCTGTAGGCTTATTTGTGTGCTTATTTGTATGATGACTTGGATGCCACTGGGGACTCGGGCTCTTCACATTTTATGCTCTCCTCTCCTGAGTGTGTGCTTATTGTTTCTTCATTGCAAGACAAGTGGTTTATGTTCAGTCCACAGGTCCATGTTATAGGAAGAAAGGGGTAAAAGACTCTGCTAGCCAAATCCATCCCTTTCCAATAAAAAAGGGCAGAGCTTCCTCAGAAACTCCACTTCAGAACTTTGACTACCGATAGTGTCACTAACTGTAGCTGGCAGGTCAGAGACTGACAATGGCATTTGGATCAGACTCTGCATACAGTATCTAGATTTTTTTTTTTTAATATCAGGAATTGAACCCAGAGATGCTTAAACACTGAATCACATCCCCAGCCCTTTATTTGTTTGTTTTTTATTTTGAGATAGGGTCTCATGAAGTTGCTGAGACTGGCTTTGAACTTGAGATCCTCCTGCCTCAGCCTTTGGTGCAGCTGGGATTACAGGCATGGGCCACCATGCTGGGCAGTATCTGGATTTTTAAAACTTATAAATAGTTTTGAAAAAGTACCAAACTTACTGTTTCTGTGGTGTTACTTATTTCCTGGCCTATTTAACTATTTTTTTAAGTTTTTAATTATTCACATAGTCATATTTGCTATCATTTTGTTTGTGATATTTTACCACTTTTAAATAGCAGCAAAGGCAAAAGCCTTTCATCCAGGTTTGTGTACACCATGAAGAGTGGAAATGGCTGGTATGATAGTGGGTTTTGGAGTTCATGTGATCTCTGTAGCCCAGAATTTGCTCAGTGTTGGAAAGGTGGATATTGTTGGTTGTATTGGTCCCTATTTGATCAAGTTTATTATGTTACTAAAATATTCATTATCATTGTTTTCTGTTTGAATAATAGTTGTATAAGGAAAGTGTATCCTTACCATTATGGATTGATTTTCTCCTTCAGTCTTTTTTTTTTTTTTCCTTTTTAATTTACTGGGAGTTGAACCCAGGGCTTCTCTACCCCTAAGCTATGTCCCCAGCCCTTTTCATTTTTATTTTTTAGGGAATCTTGCCAGGTTGCCCAGGCTGGCCTCAAACTTGCAATCTTTCTGCCTCAGACTCCCTAGTAGCTGGGATTACAGTCGCCATGCCCAGCTTCCAGTCAGTTTTTGCCTGATTCATCTCATAGCGAGATTATTATAACTCAGTGATTCCTGGCTACTCTGTTTCTTCAGTGTGTTTCTTTTACTAAAATATCTTTCATTGTCTAAATGATTTCTATGTTGAATTCTGTTTTATCTGCTATTAATATTAACATTCCACTTTTATTTTGGTTATTTGCATAACACATTTTTAATCCTTTTATTCTCAGCCTTGCTGTAGGATTTCTATTTCTGTGTGCCTTTTGTTAATAATGTCTGGCTAGATGTTTTCCTCCCGGAACCTCTTTTCTAACTGAAACTAACCCTTTGATACTTGCATTACTTGAACATGGTTCTGTCTTATTATATGGTATTTTCTATTTACCATGCTTGAATTATTTTCCTGTTTGATTAAACATGTTTTTCTTTGATTTTTAAACTTAAGCCTTTCTATTTCATACTGGGTTTTACTCTATAATGCACATCTTTATATTTCTTGTATAGCTTAAGTTGCCTAAGCTTTCATATCCCTACCACCATCCAGTTTCCTCTGGAGAGTATTTTCCTTTTATAATTTGACATATTGCTCTCTTATTGTATCCAATATTTTGTCTTATTGTATCCAATATTTTGTCTTTTCCTTTGGTTTAAGAAGTTTTTTGGTATAGGTGTACTTTTCCTGGCAGCTGCAGTATCTCCCACCATAGCTGCCCACCTTGAATCCTTCTTTTGAGAATCTTCCAGGATCTGGGCCACCTTTGAATGCACCTGTGTATTTCTTTCATAAATTTCACTATTATGTGTTGTCTTTGGGTTGGGATAGACCTAATTTATAAAACATGAGGTGGAAGTTTTAGAACACCAAGAGAGAGTATTTACCTTCTCATTTATTTTTTGTTCAAAACCATGTCAGACAGCATTTGAGGTATTAATCATTGGTTTCAGTCATCTGTAACTTTTTTTTTTAATCTGAAAAGTTTTAGGAGAATAGACAAAAATTTGCCTACAGTTAAAGTAAAAACTGATTACTACTTCAAAAAGAAGAGTTGCTTTTTCTACTTTAGGTGCTTCCCCTGGACAGGACATTTGGCATCTTTAAGAGTAATAGGAAAATGACACACCAACATCATTTCTCTGAGGCACTTTGTGACAAATGAAATGGAAATTTTGCAATGTTTCTAACATCTTTAGAGAAGGGTACAGTTTACAATGTATGAAAGTTCAGCTGGAGATTATCAAAGCAGGGTGCCTGGGAAAACTAGAAGGAACAGGGTTCAGCTGAGACAGGTTGTGGTGGATGGCCAGGATGGTAGGAAGGTGAGTGAGCAAGGGCATTCTGGGTAGCAGTCAGCTCATTTGAGGACTTGGTGCAGTGTAATGTAGGAGATGGACGGTAAAGGGGTTCTGAGAAGGTAGAAAGGTAGGTAATGACCAGATTTAAATAAGAGTATCTATGGCATTATACCAGTAAGGTGTAGGCTTTATATTGGAAATATTTCTCTAAATGCATGAAAGACCTTTTCCATTCCCCATATTTCAAAAGCTTTTAAAAGTAAGGAATGGTGTGGAACTCTGAGGTTACTCTTTTTAATGTCTTGAGTTGATCTTTTGTTGATCTGTTATGGAATTCTATTAAACTTGGAGTTTGTATTCATCCATAAGGAACTATTCTTATACCATGTAGGTTTCGATGTAAAGGTGAAATCTGCTTTTGAATTATTTATGGGAATTATCTGTTAAATATTTGAAAAAATCATCGGGGCCTGCAATTCTACTTTTGCAATTAAAAGTTACCTCTTAAATATATTTATTTCATTCCTTAGACTTCTATGAATGTTAAGTTATCACCTAATATGATGTCAAGAAATAATTTGGAAGCATCGACTTGTAAAATGACCGAATCATTTAGTTTTGAAAAAAATGAAAGCAAGCTTCCACCACACGATTCCTTAAGAAGTCCTGGAGCACATCATAACCATCCTAATTTCAGGTTGAAAAGTCCAGAGAATGGAAATAAAAAGAACAATTTTTTGCTTTGTGAGCAAACCAAACAGTATTTAGTGAGTCAGGAAGACAGTTCAGTATCTTCAAACCCTAATGGCATCAATGGAGAAGTTGGATCCAAAGGAGACCGGAAGACGTTGCCGGCAGGTGAGTAAAAACCATGGGCTGCACGATGATGGGATGGTTTCTCTGAGTTTCCACAGGTATGCTTAGCTCCACCCGCGGGGTAGGAACAGGACCGCCAAATGACTGTAGAATTTGCATGTAATTGTCAGTTTCAAAGAGGCAAGTACCAAGTGGCTACCTGTGGCTTGATTAATCACAGAAAAAATTACTCAAGAGAAAATGGCTTCAGAGGACCACCCCCACCCTACAATCAGAGAACTGTACTAGGAATGTAGAAAGGAAGCACATTGGATTTTTTTAATGGATGTTTTAAAGATTGGCCATACTTTTAAAATAGCATGCAATTTTTATGCAGATAATAGTAGACAAATAATAGTAGCCGGTTTCATGTGATTTGTTTTATCATTCCTTTGCTCCTAATTCTGAAAACCTGCTTTTGAAGGAGAGTAGGCCATAGCAAAATGAAACCTCCTTGAGTGTGAGATATGAGTTTTTAACATTATGTTGATGTAATTCTCTGAACCAACGTGACCCTTGGCCCCTAAGGTTCCTCAGGAGGTCAAAATGATCTTCCTGAAGGTGCTTAAACATTTTGCAAAGCTGATTTTACGCTGACAGTGCAAAAGCAAGAATGGATGAATTGCTCTACATAACCTCTAGCCCCACCCTGGGCTAGTGGTCATTGAATTTTTCATTGTCATGTTCTTGCAGTTAAACAAAAATGCCAGCATCACTAAAAAATATCCTTCATGGAGCAGAAAAAATTATTTTATTAAATAATTTAAAAAATATATATTAATTTTATTAAATCTCCACTGTTGTGTACAGGTATTTTTAGCATTTTGTGTAATGAAATAATAATTACTCGTAGCTTCTAAAGTATGAAAAAGTATGCATGTAACTAAGCTGTGAGCTGAAAAGGAGATTTTTTTTTTTCCTTTGAACATCCTTTCTACTTGAAGGACAAACTTTGTTTGGACTTAAATATTTGTTAAGCATTTTCTCAAAAATTAACAAAGTGAACTTGTCACTTCAAGGACAACAGCTGGTGATATTCTATTGTCAAGAGATAAAATTCTAACTTCCAAACAAATTAGGATTTCAGGATTTTTGTGTCTGCTACTCTGATTTAAGAGCTTCTCTGTACTTTAAAGATTTCTGGTGAGATGCATGGTGATATTTACACATTTTGCCGGGATGGGGACAGGGTTACTTTGTTGCTGGGCTCAAACTCCCAGTCCTCCCTGGCAGGTGGAATTTCAGGTGTTTGCCACTATGCCCAATTTACACATAATTTTTTGACATTGTGTAATGGAATGTTTTGACATTTGACAGCTGGGAATAACTCGGCAGCATTTTCCATCGGTACAGACTGCAAAGTGCAGGCTAAATTAGTGGTGGCATGACAAATTCACTGATGTGGTTTTAGACTTCATGTTGCAGCTGACATTTAGACCACCACTTGAGCTTTGGTGTGATGTTAAAGGAAAACATTCACAATTTGAGAAGGCTATTAAATGTTCTTCCTGCTTGCGACTACCTCTATAAGTGAGGCCAGATTCCCTTCAAATAACTGGCAAAACAGCATATCGTGATAGACTGAATGCCAAAGCATATACATGAATCCATCAGTGTTCTGTAAGCCAAACATTAAAGAGAGATGGAGAATGTTTTTCTGTTCTGAAAAGTTTTTTTAAACAAATTGTTACCATGTAATACATTTATTTTTAAATGAATATTTCAAAATTTAGTTTTAATTTTTAATATAGTATGTATTAATAGACATAAGCCATGTAAACAAAAGTTCTTTGGGGTTGTCAGTAATTTTTATGAGGGTGAAAGGGTTCTGAGTTCTAAAAGTTTGAGAATGGCTGCCTTACTGAATAGGGGGAAATCTACAGTGACAAGAGGAATAGGCAAGAAAATTTGAGACAAGTCCTTTTTTCCATTAGGAAAATTGGGATGTTGCTTATTTATGGTGTAACTATAAGGCCATTATGCAGTTGCCCTATTATTTGAATATCACCTAATTATTTTATTTTACATTATCAGAAATAAAAGATAATATTTGGCTTTTATTAGGAATTGTGTTTTTCCTCCTCAGGAAACTCAGTGTCACCATTAAGTGTTGGAAATAATTCACCACCCAAAGAAATAAAAACTGTAAGTTTTCCCCCCTATTTTGCATTTTTAGATAAAAGATTCTAGCATTTTTGTATTGCATTAATAAAGAAGTATTCAATTTGTATGTATTGAGGTCAAATTTACTTTTCTTTAATCTAGTACCTTAAAAATACTCTTTTCTTTATGGGTAATTGTGTAGATTGTACAATTAAAAGTATAGAGAGTTCCTGGTTACCCTCTGCCCCAGTATCTTGGTGGTGACATGCTACAGGACTATAGCACATGTATCACTCCTGAGGTATTATCCTTTATGGTCAAGACAGAACATTTCATCACTACTTGTGTGCCCTTTTATTGGCTACATCTATCTATCATCCTGCTCCTACCCTTTCCTTAATCCCTAATCCCTGGAACCACTAATATAATTCATATTTCCATAGTTTGATTACTTCAAGGATGTTGTGTGAGTGGAATTAGTATGTAACCTTTAGGGAATAGCTGTTTTCACTCTGAGTAGTTCTCTGGAGACTGAGCTAGGTGGTTACATGTACCAGTAGTTTTGAGTCTTTTTATTGCGGAATAGTCTTCTGTGGCATGGATAACTTGTTTAACCATTCACACACTGAATACACCTGGCTTCATTCTAGTTTTGGGCTTTTAAAACCAAAACTGCTGTATCCAAGCTTTTCCTGCTCTAAGATAAATGCCTAGCAGTACAATTTTGAGGTCATGTAGTAGTGGCATATTTTGCTTAAGAAACAGCGAAACTGTTTTCTGGAATGACTGTACCACATTGTGTTCTCACCCAGAATGTGTGAGTTGTTCCAGTCTCCTCCATTACCAGCATTTAGTGTGGAGTTCATGTTTTATTTCACCCATTCTCACAGGTGTAGAACATGCATCATTGAAATGTTTTTATTTATATATGACATCAGAATGCATTACAATTCTTATTACACATATAGAGCACAATTTTTCATATCTGTGGTTGTATACAAAGTATATTCACATCAATTCATGTCTTCATACATGTACTTCGGATAATAATGACCATCACATTCCACCATTATTTCTAACCCCATTGCCCCCTCCCTTCCCACCCTCTGCCCTATCTAGAGTTCGTCTGTTCCTCCCATGCGCCCACCCTCTATCACACTATGAATCAGCCTCCTTATGTCAGAAAACATTAGGCATTTGGTTTTTTGGGATTGGCTAATTTCACTTAGCATTATTCTTCTCTAACTCCATCAATTTACCTGCAAATGCCATGATTTTATTCTTTTATTGCTGAGTGATATTACATTATGTATGTATGGCACATTTTTTTTATCCATTCATCTATTGAAGGACATCTAGGTTGGTTCCACAGTTTAGCTATTGTGAATTGTGCTGCTATAAACATTGATGTGACTGTGTCCCTGTAGTATGCTATTTTTAAGTCCTTTGGGTATAGACCGAGGAGAGGGATAGCTGGGTCAAATGGTGGTTGCATTCCCAGTTTTCCAAGAAATCTCCATACTGCTTTCCATATTGGCTGCACCAATTTGCAGTCCCACTTGCAGTATATGAATTTACTTTTTTTCCCACATCCTCGCCAACACTTACTGTTGTTTGTCTTCATAATAGCTGCCATTCTGACTGGAGTGATGATGAAATCTTAGAGTGGTTTTAATTTGCATTTCCCTGATGGCTAATGATGTTAAGTATCTTTTCATCCATTTGTTTGCCATCTGTGTATCTCCTCTTTGGTGAAATATTTCTTTGTGTCTTTTGTTCATTTTCTAGTTGGAGGGTTTGGTTTTTTACTGTTGAGTTTTAAAAACTTCTTCATGTGTTTCCGATACCAGTCCTTTGTTAAGTTGTGATGTGCTGGTATTTTCTTCTAGTCTGTAGCTTATCTTTTCAGTCTCCTAATAAGGTCTTTATCAGGAGAAAAGTGGTTCATTTTAATGAAGTCTGGCTTGACAGTTTTGCCTTGAGTGGCTCATACTTTTAGGTATCAACAAATCTTAAGGACCATTTGCTATTCTAGATCCAAAAATGTTTTTTTTTTAAAGTTTCATAGTTTTACTTTTTTTTTGGGGGGGGGAGTGCTGAGGAGTGAACTAGGCAATTGTGCTATTGAGCCACAGAGCTACATCCCCTACCCGCTTTTTTTTTTTTAATCCATTTTGAGTTAAGTTTAAGAAACTTAGGCTGAGGTTTTTGTTTTTGTTTTTGTTTTTTTTTTGCCTGTGGAGGTTCAGTTGCTAAGTGTCATTTGTTGAAAATGCTAGCTTCCTCTTCTGAATTGCTTTTGCACTTTTATATATTAAAAAAATCGGGTATATTTGTGTAGCTCTGGGTTTTGCCATTCTATTCTGGACTTTCTGTTGTTTCCCATCTGTGCCTACCCCTTCACCAGTACCGCACAGTCTTGATTATTAGAGTATATAATATGTCTTGAAATTAGGTAGAGTGGTTCATCCTCCTGTATATTTCTTTTTCAAAATTGTTTTAGGTATTGTAGTTCCTTTCCTTTCTCATATACTGTTTATGATAATCTCATCCATATCCACAAAATTATCTTGCTGGAATTTTGGTATCAATTACATTAAACCTGTACCTCAATTTGAGAATTAACATAACTGCTATATTGAATCTTTCAAACCATGGACACAAGTCTTTTATGTAGATCTTTGATTTTCTTCATTTTATAATTTTCAGTTTACAACTCCTGTACATGTTTTGTTAGATTTATACTTAAGTATTTCATTTTTTGTGTTCATAAATATTTTGTGTGCGCTTCCCCATGTTCATTGCTAATATATAGAAATATGATTGAGTTTTGGATATTACATTCTGTGACCTTGCTGAAGTCAATTATTCAAGGACTGGTTTTTAGATCCCCTATAGTTTTCTATCTAGGTAACCATATCCTCTACATAGAGGGATAGTTTTATTTTTTTCCCTTTCAATATGTATGTTTTTATTTCCGTTTCTTCCCTTATTGCACTGTGTGAAAAAAAGTGGGACAGGGCTGGGGTTGTGGCTCAGAGGCAGAGCACTCACCTACCATGCATGAAGCACTGAGTTCGATCCTCAGCACCACATAAAAATAAAATAAAGATATTATTATAACTAAAAATAAATATTTTTTTAAAAGGTGGGACAGTAGATAGCCTTATTTCCAGATTTAGGGGGAAAACTTCAATTTTGTGCATTAAGTAGATTGTTAGCTATATGTTTCTATAAATGCAGTTTATCATGTTGATGAAGTTTCTCTATTCCTGATTTTTTGATAGTTTTTTTATCATGAATAGGTGTTAAATTTTATCAAATATGTTTCTTGCATGGATCAAAAGTGGTGATGATTTTTACTTTGCCTATAAATTTGGTGGATTACATTGATATTTTGAGTAGTTAACCAGCCTTGTGTCTCTGGAATAAACCTCATTTGGTCATGGTGTACAACTATTTTTATATATTGTTGAATTCTGATAAAACTTTGATAGATTTTTAAATTCATTTTCAAGGGAGGGCTTGTTTTGTAATTTTCTCTCTTTCACTTCTTGGTGTAGTTTGAATATCAATGTAATATTAGCTTTATAAGAAGCATTGGAAAGTGTTCCTTTTCTATTTTCTGGAAGAGAGATGATGGAATAAATAAATATGGAATTTATGTTAGTTTTTGTTTAAATATTTGGTAGGATTCTCCAGTGAAAACAGTTTGGACTTGGATATTTCTCCTGGTGGAATTTCAAAACTGATATAATTTAAAAAATATTTTTAGATTTATTTAAATTAGTTCATATTATGATAGTTTTAGTTTATTTTTTCAAATGAATTGGTATATTTTGTCTATATTACCAAATGATGTGTGCAGAGTTGTTTAGTATATTATTTTGATGTCACCACAGTGCTATCCATGTTTCATTTTGGAAATTGGTAATTTCTGTCTTCTCTCTTTATTATCTGTTTTACAAGAGGTTTGTAAATCTTATTGATCTTTTCAAAGAACCAAGTCTTGTTTTCATTAATTTTTTTGTTTATTTTTAATGTTATTTATTTCTGCTTTTATTTTTACTGAGTTTTTCCTTCTTTGGGGCATTTTTTTTGTCATTTTTTGTTTTGTTTTTGAGTTATGTGTTAGCTTTCTTCAGTATAATGATATACCTGAGATAATAATAGAGGTTAAATTTGGCTCACAGTTTGGGAGGTATTCCAGTTAATGATCAAATGGCCCCATTGCTTTGGGGCCTGTGGTGAGGCAGCATATCATGGTGAGAGCATGTGATGGAATAAAAGTGCTTATATTATGACCAGGAAGAAAAAGAGGAAGAGTTTGGGTTCCCCTTCAAGGGTGTCTCTGATGTCCTAAGGACCTCATACATCCTAAAGGTTCCACCACCTCCCAGTAGTACCACTCTGGAGACCAGCCTTTAACATACGGACCTCTAGGGGACATTCAGGGTTCAAACTATGGCAAGATGAGAGATTATATTGTGGATTTGAAACTTTTCCTCTTTTCCAATATGTTCATTTAAGGCTTTAAATTTTCCTCTAATATTTTTAGATCTATTTAAATTAGTTCATATTGTGATAGTTTTGAATGAAAACAAGACTTGGTTCTTTGAAGAGATCAACACTGCTTTAACAATGTCCCACTTTTTTTTTTTTTTTTTTTTTTTTTTGCTACTGGGGATTGAACTCGGGACACTTGACCACTGAGCCACATTCCCAGCCCTATTGTATTTTATTTAGACACAGGGTCTCAATGAATTGCTGAGCACCTTGCTGTTGCTGAGGCTGGCTTTGAACTTGCGATCCTCCTGCCTCAACCTCCTGAGCTGCTGGGATCAAAGGCGTGTGTCACCATACCCAGCTTCCCACAAGTTTTGATATTTTATATTATCATCTTTCAGTTCAAGGGTCTTTTATTAACCTGGAGACTTTCTGTTTGGCACATGCATTATTTAGAAGTATGTATTTTAGTTTTCAAGTGTTTGGAGATTATCTGTTCCTGCTACTGATTTCAAGTTTGAGTCTGTTGTAGTCAAAGAACAAACTCTGTATGATTTAAATTCTCCCTTCCTCTTCATGCATACTGAGCACATGCTCTACCATGGGGCCACATCCCCAACCTTGTTTCTTTTTTATTTTTTGAGGTTCCCCTACACCCCTGCCAGGTAGTAGGGATCAAACCCAGAGACTCATACATGCTAGGCAAGCAGTCTATCACTGAGCCACATCCCAAGCCCTTGAGGATTGTTTTGTGGCTCTGGTTATGGACTTAGTAGATGTTCTGTTGGTGCTTGAAAAGAATGTGCATTCTGCAGTCTAAAATGTTGGCTCAAATCATCTGTAAATTCCTGATAGGTCTTTTTGATTAATTGTGATGAGTTTTTCTATATTCTTGTCAATTGTCTATCTAGTTATATCTATTGTTGAGAAGAAGCATTAACATCTCTAACTATAATTATGGATTACCTATTCTTTTTTGAGTTTACTTTTTCTTTACATTTGATAGCTCTATTTGCTACAAACACATTTAGGATTGGCACATTCTTTTTGGAATGACCCTTTTGTCATTGTTCCTCCCTGATTTTCTTTGCTCTGTAGTCTTTGATATTAGTACAACCATATCTGTTTTCTGTTAACATTGTTGAGGTACTTTTCCATCTTTTTAGTTACAACCTATTTATATCATTATACTTGAAATGAATTCCTTATAGGTAGCATATAGTTGGGTAACATCTTTTAATCCATTTGGTCAATCTATTATCTTTCAACTGGCATATTTATAATTGAGTTAATTATTGATATTTGAGGGCATTATAGATACAAAACTTACTGGCATCATCATTTTTCAATTTGAGTATAGTGTAGACACTTCCTCTCTTTCCTTACAAGAATCCTCTTAATTTGTGTTATATGTAAGTTTGGGGGTTTTAGTTATACTTGGGAGGAATGAGGGAGAAGGCATCTATTCTATCTTACCAAAACAGTCAGTCATAAATCTAGTATTTAAAAAAATTATTACCAAGTTCTAATATTGCTCTTCTTTATTCTTAATAGAAGCCCAGCAATAGTGTGTCTCCTGCACAGTCAAAAAAATCACACAAGTTGGTTGAAAATTCCTTGTCCATAAGTAATCCAGCGCTCTTCAACTCTTTAGGACCTCCCCTTCGGTCAACAACTTGCCATCGCTGTGGTCTGTTTGGTAAGCAGCTTGCTCTTAGATGTCCCTAGCTAATTCTACACATTTGAAAAATATTTTTACTATGGCAGATAGTGTGTGTGTATCTTTGTATATATATTGTGTACCTGTCATTCATCTGTAGTAACTATTAATATCCTACCATTGATCTTTATCTAGATCTTTCTGCTTTTTTTGATTCCTCAGTTGATTAGTATTTTTATGATTTTTTTAATCATTTTTTTTAGTTGATAGACCTTTATTTTTATTTATTTATATGTGGTGCTGAGACTCGAACCCAGTGCCTCACACATGCCAGGCAAGTGCGCTACGGCTGAGCCCCAGCCCTAGCCTCTTGTGATTTTTTTTTTTTTTTAAAGAAAGCATACATGTACTGAAATTCACACACACTGATCAAGATACAGAATATTGTCTCCTCAGAAAGTTTTCTGTGGGGGCTGCAGTTGTAGCTCAGTGTCGGTAGAGTGCTTGCCTGGCAAGTGTGAGACACTGGGTTCGATCCTTGGCACCACATAAAAATAAAATAAAGATGTTGTGTCCACCGAAAACTGAAAAATAAATATTAAAAAATTCTCTCTCTCTTCTCTCTCTTAAAAAATAAATAAAATAAAGGTATTATATTCATTTTTACAATTAAAAAATTTAATTTAAAAAGTTATTTAAATCCCTTTCCCATCACTATACCCCCAAGAAAATGATCATTTTTTTTCACTGTAAATTAATTTTGCCTGTCATAGAATTTCCCATGTATAAATTGATATAGTACAGGCTCATTTATATAAAGTTATCTAGAATAATATTTTTGAGATTAATCAATGCCATTGCATGTATCATTAATTACTTTTGTTATTGCTAAGTAGTATTCCATCACATGATTATATCACAATTTATTTTAATTTATTTTAAATAGAATTGTATGTATTCACCATGAACACGATGTTTTGACATATTTATCTGTGTTTATATTGATGAACATTTTGGTTGTGTCAAGCTTTGGGTTATCGTGAGTTGTATCCCTAAATATTTTTGTCTAGTCTTTCTACGCCCACCCAGTGCAGGGGTTTGAATCCTGGGGCTACATCCCCGGCCAATTTTCTGTCTTGAAATTTATGTTTTACTTTTAGACAGGGTCTTGCTAAATTGCCTAGACTAACCCTGAACCTTGTGATTCTCCTGCCTCAGCCTCTTGAGTAACTGAGATTGCAGCTAAGTGCAATCTAAATACCTAACCATAAATTACACAGTTCCCTTCAAATGGTCTTCTTGAGGTGATTGATAGTGATGTTTGGTGGGTCTGGTCTTTGGGGACATCTTGATCTCAATAGCACACATCTGGCGTGCACCACCAGTGATGTCCTGGTTGTGTCCCTCAGGGTCGCTGAGGTGTTCTCAGTGCAAGCAGACATACTATTGCTCCACGGCCTGTCAGAGAAGAGACTGGTCTGCCCACAGCATTGTGTGCAAGCCTGTCCAGCAAAGGTAAGTGTTCATGAGCTTTGATTCATTAGGTAATATTGAAGAAGCTCTTCCTGATAGAATAAGTATCTCATCAGTTAAACAGAACTATTTAGAAGTTGTTACATTCTGATATTTATTGAGATATAATGAAACATACAAACCTGAGGTGAATAGCTCTATGAGCTTAGTTTTATATATTTTAGACAGTACACATTATGATTTAGAACCTTAAATGAGTTTTTTAAAATGGTTATAATTTTAGAATGCCTTACTTTTAATCATGTTTGATTTCCTGAATTTTGGTAAGTTGAAACTTGCATAGTGCCTCTTGAGTAGTGATTTTTAAATGCATAAATCTTTGCATGTCATTTACCGGTTCACAGAAGTTTCACATATAACCACATTTTATCCTCAAGACTTTGTGTAGATGTAACTTAGGGATTATCGTCATCAAACTAATAAGAAAACAGGCATAGAGACTGTGACTGCCTCCCTTTCATCCAGTGACACTTGGAAAGTAAGCTTTGCATACATGGGGTGGACTCTTGCATGGGCCCCTGCTGTGATCCTTCCTGGAGGAAGCTGCCTGGTTCTTTCTAGCTATTGTTCATTGAGACTTGAATGTAATTGCGATTTATGGTCTCCATTCTTAAATGCTCCATAGTATAAATATTGTAATCAGTTGCTTTATTTCAGTTTCCATAAACTTGAAGATAATAAGTCACCTTTTGAAACAAAGAACATGGAAGTGAAAAATGAGGTATGATATTCTTTGTCTTCATAGGAAATTTTAAATGACTCCCCTTTATTGAATAAGTACTTAAGCCAAATAAAATGTTTTAGGTCTGGGGATGTAGGATGTTGCTCAGTTGTAGAGCACTTGTCTAGAATGCATGAGGCCCTGAGTGTGATTCCCCATACTTCAAAAAACAATTCAGACTCATTTCTACATTTCCATTAATGTTTTTGTGGTGTTGTTTTTTTTGGGGGGGTGGTGGTTTACTAGTGATTGAACTCAGGGTCACTCAATCACTGAGCCACATCCCCTGCCCTGTTTTGTATTTCATTCATTCAGAGTTTCACTGAATTCCTTAGCGCCTTGCTTTTACTGAGGCTGGCTTTGAACTCAAAATCATTCTTCCTCAGTCTCCCAAGCTGCTGGGATTACAGGCTTGTGCCACTGTGCCCAGTGTCCACTAATGTTTAAAAACAAAAATTTCCTATTAAATCCACTTGCTTTAATGATGGGATTTGATGGATTTGGTAGTGGAGGTGTGTGATAATTTTTTATTTACAGTCTTTCTCCCCACTGACTGTGTCAGTGCAAAATCACTTGGATTAGTTGAGGAGCCCTAATTAGCTGGCACCTGCGGGTGCCGGCTGTGAACAAACCCTGTAGGGATTCTAGTTAAGGAGAATTTTCTTCCTCTTACTAGCTCTCTTCTTTTTAAATAACTATAGGAGCTGAATAATTTATAATTTGAAAACCTTGTGTCCAACTATATTTATTTTTATTTATTCTAATTTGTTATATATGACAGCAGAATGCATTACAATTCTTAATACACATATAGAGCACAATTTTTCATATCTCTAGTTGTATACAAAGTATGTTCACACCATTTGTGTCTTTATACATGTTCTTAGAGTAATGATGTCCATTTCATTCCACCATCTTTTCTACCTCCATTCCCCCATCTTTTCTACCTCCATTCCCCCTCCCTTCCCCTCCTTCTCCTCTGCCCTATCTAGAGTTCCTCTATTCCTCCCATGCCCACCCTCCCAGCCCCACTATGAATCAGCCTCCTTATGTCAGAGAAAACATTCAGCATTTGGTTTTTTGGGATTGGCTAACTTCGCTTAGCATTATCTCCTCCAACTCCATCCATTTACCTGCAAATGCCATGATTTTATTTTCTTTTATTGCCCAGTAATATTCCATTGTGTACATACACCACATTTTTTTATCCATTCATCTACTGAAGGGCATCTAAGTTGGTTCCACAGTTTAGCTATTGTGAATTGTGCTGCTATAAACATTGATTTGACTGTGTCCCTGTAGTATGCTGTTTTAAAGTCCTTTGGGTATATAGACCAAGGAGTGGGATAGCTGGGTCAAAAGGTGATTCCATTCCCAGTTTTCCAAGAAATGTCCATACTGCTTTCCAGATTGGCTGTACCATTTTGCAGTCTCACCAGCAATGTATGAGTATACCTCATCCCCCACATCCTCGCCAACACTTATTGTTGTGTTTATGCATAATAGCTGCCATTCTGACTGGAGTAAGATGAAATCTTAGAGTAGTTTTGATTTGGATTTCTCTGATTGCTAGAGATGTTGAACATTTTTTCATATATTTGTTGATTGATTATATATCACCTTCTGAGAAGTGTCTGTTCAGTTCCTTGGCCTATTTATTGATTGGGTTATTTGGGGTTTTTTTTGGTGTTTAGCTTTTAGAGTTCTTTATACACCCTAGAGATTAGTGTGTATAAAGAACTATCTGATGTGCAAGTGGTAAAAATTTGCTCCCAAGCTGGAGGCTCTCTTCACCTCACTGATTGTTTCTTTTGCTGAGAAGGAGTAATTCTGGATTTTAATTCTTACGCTATAGGAGTCTTATTAAGGAAGTAGGGGCCTAATCTGATATGATAGAGATTTGGGCCTACTTTTTCTTCTATTAGACACAGGGTCTCTGATTTAATTCCTAGTTCCTTGATCTACTTTGAGTTGAGTTTTGTGCATAGTGAGAGACAAGGGTTTAATTTCATTTTGCTGCTTATGGATTTCCAGTTTTCCCAGTATCATGGTTGAAGAGGCTATCTTTTCTCCAGTGTGTTTCCAACTCATATTTAAAGATAAGTTTTAAACTGGGCACGGTGGCACATGCCTGTAATCCCAGCGGCTCGAGAGGCTGAGACCGGAGGATCGCAAGTTTAGAACCACTTAACACCTCGCTGTTGCACCCTCAGCAACAACGAAGTGTTAAGCAATTCAGTGAGACCCTGTCTCTAAATAAATACAAAATAGGGCTGGGAATGTGGCTCAGTGGTGCCCTGAGTTCAATCACCAGTACCAAAAAAAAAAAAAAAAAAGCTACAATTTAGATTTCTGTAGTTCCTTCTAGCCTCTAGTTTGAAAAAAGAGTGTCTTGAGTTTTAAAGCTTTAAGAAATTCACATTTGCCTTTATTCCTGGTGAATTATTATCTTTTCTGACCTTCTCAAATATTTATTCTTACAAAAACATTAACAAGTACACATTTATAATTTAAAACTATAAATTTCATTTACAATTAAAAGTAGCTACTTTTTATTTTTTTTTAACGAATTCAACATTATCTTCCCTGTGATGCCCTCATTCTTGGGTGACCCCTGTGCTGTGTATGCTATCTGTACAAAATGAATTTCAGCAGCTCTTGGAGGCCATCCCTATTTCTGTTCTCTGTTACTTAAGCCTAAGAGTTAGGTTTATATGAGTCCTGCTGTTAGTGGCTACAATGTCGTTAACAGCCGTGCTTGTAAATAACTCCTTTGTGTTTTTCAAACCAGAGTGACTGTCCACTTGGGGTTACTAAAGAAATAGCCACTGATACTGAGAAAATAATGTTTTCTGACTTGAGAAGTCTACAACTCAAGAAAACCATGGAAATAAAGGTATTTTTTCTTTAATTGCCATAGATCCAGGACTATAGATTTTTATTTCATTTCCTATTTTTAAATCGAGTGCATATAGTAGCTATAAAATATCCAATTAAATTACTAAAGACTACAAAAACTATGACACTTTTTGTGTCTGAGTTTTAAAGCTTTAAGAAATTCACATTTGTTTTTATTGCTGGTGAATTATTATCTTTTCTGTCTTTGAAAGGGTACAGTTACTGAATTCAGACACCCAAGTGACTTTTATGTCCAGTTATATTCTTCAGAAGTTTTAGAATACATGAACCAGCTCTCTGCAAGTTTAAAAGAAACATATGCAAATATGGTGCAAGATGAAGATTATATTCCGGTTAAGGGGGAAGTTTGTGTTGCCAAGTACACAGTTGATCAGGTAACCTGTGATGAAATGAATTATTCAGTAAAATGTCCTGACATTGGTTGTCCCACCTTGTCTACACCAGAGCTGGTGAAGGCTGGGATGGCTCACAGCTAGACTCTTCCTCTCTGTTCCCTACACTTCCTCCTGCCCTAACCTTCTCCTCTGTTTATTGGTTCCTAAGTGGTTGCTGATCTTAGAGTTTGTGGTTATTTGTGTGGCTGAGACATCAGTGTAGAGTCTGCTGGGCTGGAATAGCTTAGGAATACTTGTGAATATTAAAGTGTCCTAATTAGATGATTTTAGGAATTTCTTAGCAAGATTTGTAGACATTAAAGTTGAGTTTTTGAGTGCCTTTCATTTATGTGGTCTGTTGTTAATACAGAGGTTCTTTGAGAATGTGGAATGCTATTTGGAAGCAAAATTCCATTATATTTCCTTTCCAGACCTGGAACAGAGTGATAATACAAGATGTTGATGTGCTACAGAAGAAGGTACAAGTCTTGTATATTGATTATGGAAATGAAGAAATAATTCCAGTAAACAGAATTCACCAACTGAACAGAAACATTGACTTGTTTCCTCCTTGTGTGAGTCTTTTACTTTCTAAACTCCCATCAGTGTCCCCAGGGAGCCGTTTCTTCAGGTTTAATGCTTGCTTCTGTTCTGCCAAGGTTTCATACTCATTGGAATATCTTCTACTATATATATGAACACCCCTAGGCTCCACTTCAGTTATCCCTCATTTAGTTAAAAGTTCCTCAGGAAAAAAACTTTTAGGCATATCTTACCTATCTGGTGTTTACAAACTTTTTTTTTTCTATCTATTACTTGAAAGTAGCCAAAATTTTTTTAATAATTGAAGTCTAATCATTATTCTTGAATGAATTTCTCAAGCTTCAGGTACCAAAAGTTAGCTTTAAGAACAGAAGTACCAAGAGAGACAAATACAGTTATGCCTAAAATTGTTTATCTGGTTAGTACTTAGACTTTTGCTAAGTTTTTAGCATGAAAACATCATTTTTATTAAAATACTTAAAAATTAATTAGAAATTTTATTTATAAAATTCATTCATACTAATAACTTGCACAAAATTTTTTAGGCCATAAAGTGCTTTGTGGCTGGTGTTGTACCAGCAGAGGGGAATTGGAGCAATGATTGTATCAAAACTATTAAATCACTGTTCATGGAGCAGTTCTGCTCTATAAAGATTGTCGACATCTTGAATGAAGAAGTGGTTACCTATGCTGTAGATGTCATGCTACAAAATTCAGGTAAGATCTGAGTTTTCTTTTTAAATTAAAGATTTAATATTTTATTCAGTCCCCACCTGTCACTTGGAGAAGAAATATAACCACAAAGGTGAAGCCAAGTAAACCCTCTCTGGAGTCATTCAGATTGTGACTGAAAATGGAGGGTTGGATTGGCAGTTTATCAAAGACATGGCACAAATTCATAGAATTAGGTGATTTAAAAGGCCAGATTGGACAACATGGGAATAGCGATGATGTCATTCTCCTATTAGTACAGCCGTTATGATGTACGCTCTTGGTTTCTCCTTCATTGCTGAAATTCCTGAATTTCTCACTGAATCCACTCATCCTCATCTGCCCCCCAGTCCTGCGTTCACTAGTGTGCAGTGTGTGAACTGTGGCAAGGAAGCGCTGGGGATGGAGTTCCGTAGCAGTTTGGGAAGTGGCTTCTGTCAGTCTGCATGCAGTTGCCTGTTGGTTTTCCCTCTGCTTTTATGGACTATGACATGGGTGACTTGGCAGAAAACGCAGTTAATCTGTTGAACTTAAGTATAAAATCTTTTGTTGCTTGTTATGTATATTTCATGTTATGATTTCACCTCTTGGTTGTTATTTCAGGGAACTGAGCTTCATGTCAGGGCTGACGAGCCCTTGTTTCAGCCAGACTGTCAGTCTGAGAAAAAGTAGTCTTATGTCTTATTTTTTTCTCATAAATAGTGGTTATTCTAAGCATTCTTGTGGGGTAGTAACTGAGAAATCTTTTCATTCAGTTTACCATTGTGCTACTATGGGATTTTTATCTCGATTTTTAAAACTGGACATTACTAAACTGTCTTGCCCATAACAAGTGACCTGGTAAAACATACCAGTGTGTTAATAGTTGTAATCTCTGCATCATGTTATTAACTTGTTTATTTTTAATGCTTTGTACAGTGTCTCAATAAAGATATATGTTCTTAATCACTTTTTAGGAAAATTTTTAGACCATGTACTTGTAGAAATGGGATATGGTTTGAAACCCAAAGGACAAAATTCTAAGAAACAAAGCACAGATCAAAGTGAGTATTCAGATGAATATAAATATGTAGTGGCTTCAGTTATCGAAGAGCTTCTTCTCTTCTAAATCAAAAAGGCAGGACTGTAACACTGCCCACACTAGTAATGGTGACAGTCCTTCTGTAAACTATAAGAAGGATGGTGTTTTTCATTTAGTAATATTTCCAATCTGTCTTCCCTGCCAGTCTCCTTCTCTGTGTCTAGATTAATCCTTAACATGGTAATTATCATTAGTATAAAGTATTAAATATGACACTTTAGGCTGAGAACTTTTTAGCTCACATTTCCTTAGTTTAATTTGGTACTTTTCTTTATTTGAGTATTCCTATCAATAATATGTAGATCTTTAAAATTCTGTGTTTATTTTTTACTTCTTGTTTACATGTGTGTGGTTTTTCATTTAGTTTAAACAGATCAAGAAATTTTATCCTCAGAATTTTATTTTCTCATTGCCTAGGCATATGTTTCTTTTTAAAATATTTTTTTAGTTATAGTTGGACACAATATCTTTATTTATTTTTATGTGGTACTGAGGATCGAACGCAGTACCTCACAATGCAAGGTGGGCGCTCTACCACTGAGTCACAACCCCAGCCCTATGTGTCTCTTTATAGCCTGTTTTTCCTTTACTTTATTCCTTTACTAATTACTTTGAGTGTAGACATGATTCATTGCCTCTTGCTAATGCATCCAGAGGTGATGCCAGATTCATGATTGGTCACATCCTGCCACATAGACTAACCTGACTCATCGTGAAGTCTGCCTTCCCCCTTAGTCTTCCATCCCTTGCCCTGTCTTTGTTGATTCTTCTGTCCAAATATGTCTTTTTTTCCCCCTTTCTGTTCTAGCTACCATTTCCTTAGTTCAGGAATCCTCCTCATTCATGGTTAGTTGAAGCAGCCTTCTAGTAATGTCTTTTTTTCTCCTGTCCATTCTCTTGGTACTTGCCCATGTGGTATCCCTAAGACACAAATCTCAGGGCAACAGCTCTGCTGAAAAGCTTTCAGTAGGTCTTTGTCATCTAGAGGAGAAAACCAAACATATAGTGGTAGTAATGGTTGAAACTAAGTGTTGGTGGTGCAGAGTGAGGAAAAATAACGAGGAAGGTAAATCTGGAGTCTATAATATAGTGAGAAGGTGTGGTGGAAAAGGTGAGAAGAGAGGGCGGGAAAGTTGGTCAGAGGAACTAAAGCGTAAATGCTTCTGGGGGAGGGGCGTCATCTGCTTAGAAGGAACAAAGAAATCCAGTGACGGGTATTTGCTTCACCATGGTATCATGGAGGTGCCTTCAAGAAGTATGTTGTGTGGTTGGTACAGACACGGAGGAGCCCCTAGGAAGGGTACCTGACCAAGACTTGGCGAGAAACCTCCAAGTGCTGCCACACTGAGCAGGAAGTGACAGGTTCTAGTGGTGAAGCATGTGCTCCTAGAAGAAAGCACACATATGTAAAGTCCTCAAGACATAAGAGTATGTTGGCCTGAAAAAAATGAAAAATAGGTATGGCTGGAGTCAACCGTTGAGGAGTTGACCATAGGATAAGGGAACAGAGGTTGGGAGGTTAGCTAGAGTAGACAGGTCTAGGGAACAGTGATCAGGTGATGGGGAATGGAAGGGTCAGGGGATCTGGAGTCGTGACCCCTGTTACTCCAGTGGTTTTTGTGGGTATGAGGGAAAGACTTAGAAATTAGAGAAGATAAGCAGAGCTGGGTGCCACTGCAGCTTGGGAGACTGAGGCAGGAGGTTCACAAGTTCAAAGCCAGCCTAAGGAACTTAGCAAGACCTTGGGTTTAATACTCAGAACCAGAAAAAAAATAATATTAAAATAGGAAGAGGGGCTGGGGGGCTCAGTGGTAGAGCGCTTGCCTAGCATGCGTGAGGCACTGGGTCCGATCCTCAGCATCACATAAAAATAAAATAAAAGTATTGTGTCCACCTACAACTAAAAAATACTTTTAAAAACAAAAAAAGAGGAAGAGAGGAAATGTTGTCAAACTTTCTTAATTTGAGCTTTCTCAAGAATATAGCTTTGATCCTAGCACAGAATCCAGCCTCTACTTCTGTCTTGCCACTTTGTGCCTGGCCCAGTTGAGAAGCTTTCAACCTCCCCTTTCCCCATCACCGTAGAGTCAAGAGGAGCCAGGTCTGAGGACTCTGTGTACGTTGGCCTCCCTTCTGCTGAAGTGCTCTTGTGCCTGGCTCCACTTAGGGTGTCTGTGTCGTGATTGAGCAGCCCCTGGATAGCCTGCCTTCCCTTGTGGTATTGATCACATTGTCACTCCTGATGTGAACATCATCTGTATCCTCCAAGACCTGGATCTTCCAAGGAGCATGGACCACAGCCGTTTACTTATTTAATGGCCTCTCTCCATTTTTTAGCATGGCATCCTTCATGTTGAATATATAACTTAAAAACCCACCAAATACCCTGAGAAGACCTTCTGATGGACTCGCACAGCTGAAGGAGGCCATCAAGAGGATTCCTCCCCTCCCCCTGTCTAAATGTGAGGACGCAGGGCTAGAGTTGTGGCTCAGTGGCGGATAGAGCGCTTACCTAGCATGTGTGAGGCACTGGCTCGATTCTGAGCACTACATTAAAAAAATCAATAAAATAAAGATATTGTCTGAATAAACGTGAGGACACAGACGCAGCAGGTTACCCTAAGACAGGAGGATATGGCCCAAACGTAGGCCCCTCACCCCAGGGCAGTGCTCTTCCCCTCACACCATTCCTCTTTTCCTGTGAGTCCACAGGGCAGTGGTTCATTCTTCCTGTTGCTGAGTTTTGCTCTTGCCTCCTCCCTATGTTTTGATTTTTTTTTTCTGAAAAATGTTTCAGTTTCTCTCTTGAATTTATCTTGGCTAATGTTTGGCGCCAATTATCCATTTCAAAGGGATTTCTGACATAACTTCAGGTATCCTTATAACGCACTAGGAGCTCATTCCTAGGCACTAGGCACCATGATCCCTCCACTTCTGTGGTCAGTCATTTCCCCTTGGTCTTCAGAGTCGGGCTGCCTAGGTGCCTGGCGACACTTGTTTTCCTTGGCAGATCGGCAGTACTCTAGATGCCTGTTTTCTCATATTTCTGAGTCAAAACAATGAACCTGACCATAGTTCGGTCTGAATAGTGTCTTCTTGGCTCCTTAAAGCAGTATTTTGTCTTTCAGGATTCTGGTATGTTGGTGGTATCATGAGATTCCTGAGTCTTGATCCTGAAGACACATTCCTTGAGAACTTGGAATTTTATAGGCCGTGTGCTTTTGTCATTCCTGATAATTTTCTTATGTTCTAAGTTATTTTTCTGGTGCTCAACATCTTTTCTCCTTCAAACTCTTCAGTCAGTTCTGATTTATTTCACTTGACTTGACACCTATGTTACTTGTTCATTTTTTTAACTGTTTAGTGCATTTTAAACATTTTTATTTCAAAATTTATTTTGTTATAATAATAATTGTTTCCTATGGTATTTATCATTTAATTATAGAATGGGTCCTATGCAGGTGTGTTTCTACTTCATCATGTGAGCCTATTTCAGTTATATATTCTTGGACTCTAAGATTATGTAAAGATTCTATTTATAGAACATTTCAACTAAATCTGAATTTTCTTTTTATGCCACTAATTTTCTTGGTCCTAGTCTAACTTTGAGTGATGTAGGAAACTGGCTTCATCCGTCCATCTTCAAAGGGAGAAATACCGTGGGTTCTCATACTACCATCTTGAGGAACCTTGCCCAGTCATACTCATATTCTCTTTTTAAAAATGATTGAAGTGTGCATATTTTTTCTAAACTTTTAATGAAACCAAAATGACTTATTTTTGTATTTTCTGATAAGGCGATCCTGAAGATATTGGAAAAATGACAGCTGAAAATAAAATTGTTGTAGACAGAAGTGACCTAATCCCCAAGGTGCTAACTGTAAATGTGGGTGATGAGTTCTGTGGTGTGGTTGCCCACATTCAAACACCAGAAGACTTCTTTTGTCAACAATTACAAAGTGGCCGTAAGTAAATTGTCTTGATTGGTTGTATCATAACAACAAACTTCATGAGACTCAACATGCAAAAATAAATTTAAACTATACCTTATCTGTTGTTGAAGATGTGATCTGTATCTGCAGATAAGCTTGCTGAACTTCAGGCGGCGCTCAGTGAGTACTGTGGTCAAGCATCTCCACGCTCTGATTTTTATCCGACCATTGGTGATATATGTTGTGCTCGGTTCTCAGGTAAGGAAAGAGCATCATTGAAAGTTTTACTTATAGTTGAGTAAAACAATTGAAACAGAAACATTGGTTCACACTGAATAGCTACATTTGAAGCTTAAGTATTAAAGTGTGTCAGTTACATTTTTAAATACATCCAGTTAAACTGGATCAAAAGAGTGTGGATCAATAGGTGTGAGGGCAGAGAGCCCGTGAGCATCAAAGGGGTGGATAGAAAGGATGTTCTTATTATTATTTAGTGTTTGGAGATTGGTTTAGATAGTTCCATTTACATAAATATGGGACGTAGGGACCCACCTTCCCCCGACACACACATTCATGTCTTTGCCAGTTTTATTTGGGATAGCACGGGGTCTGGAAGCCTAGAGCTGTTGTGTGCAGCCTCTGTAGCTGCAGCAGTCTTGCCTTGTGATAGTCTGTTTCTGTTGCTATCATTGAGGGGGAGGCCCTGCTGCCTCATGGAAGGAGAGGGGCAAGAACAGGGCAGCCCCCAGAACATGAGTTGTTTGGCTGGTGGAGTCCAGTTGACTCATACTGTCGGTGTTCTAGAAATAGCCCTGCTGAATGCCTTAGCAAATGGTATTGATCAAGACCTGGGGATTCATGTGATCACATGCACTCCATCCTACTGAGCTGTCCACTGAAGAGATAATGCACATAAGTAAATAATGATAACATATGATTAATTAGTAAGCTATTAATAAAGGTTACATTTTAGGAACTGAAGACTTCAGATAGCAAAACAGACAATGTTTAGTAAGCAGACATTTTTCAGTAAAGCTTGTTATTCTGTTAAAGTAAAACTTACAAATGATCATCTCTAATGTGAGGAGTTTTTATTTTTATCTTCATTAGAAAATTATTTGAGACTGAGTCTCTTTGTTTCAGAGGATGACCAGTGGTACCGTGCCTCCGTTCTGGCCTATGCTTCTGAAGAATCTGTACTTGTTGGCTATGTTGATTATGGAAACTTTGAAATCCTTAGTTTAACAAGACTTTGTCCCATAATTCCAAAGTTGTTGGAATTGCCAATGCAAGCTATAAAGTGTGTGCTGGCAGGTATGACATTTTTATTCTGTCCCTTAAAATATTAAACCCTAAAGATGAAAATTGAAACATGAGGCAGGGAAAACATGCTTATCAAAACAATAAGAACGTTATGATCACATGCTTAAGAATTGTTACTATACATGTTATTTTTCTCATTGAGATTAGGAGTTTCTTTCCAGATCAGTAAATTGGCTCCAGCAACTTAAGTATACCATATTTTAACTAGTATACAGTATTAGGTGTTTCCAAGCTTTTGTTGTTAGTAGTGTTCTTTTGGTTACATTTTGCATTATATCCAAGATTATTTCCTTAGGGTATGTTGCACAATGTAATTATATTGCAAGTGCTTCTTTTAGGACAAGCTCCCCCAGGTGGATTGGGGGTGTTAGTGAGTGTGCTGCTTTTCACATGTACATCTTCCTCCAGGAAGAGTGGAAGTAGTTTATGCAGCCTCCAGAAAAGCACAAGAGTGAATTTCTTTACTCATTCATGCACCACAGAGATAGATTTATATTATATCACCTTAGCCAATTCTGATAAGTTAAAAGCTTAACTATTTCAGCCTTCCTCAATACCAGAAGTTGAACTCTTTTTGTAAATGACTTGGCTCTTGTGTTTTATGAATGGACTTAGGCAGAACCTCACCAGTATTGATTTGTAAGCAACCTTTCAGTACTGACTTGTGCTATAGATGTTGCATGTGTTAATATGAGATCAATGTTTCTTCCTGGAATTTTTTTTATAAATTTGTTTATGATTTTCTTAATAACTGTATTTGGTTATGATTTATACACTATCAAATTTAGTTAAATAATTTTAAATTTTAGTAACTTGACCAAGTTGTGCAGCTACCACCATGATCCATGCTCCACTTTTAGAACATTTCCATAACCCCAGTGAGATCTCTGTGCCTGTTTTACTGCTAAGCCTTGCTTCCCAGACAATAGCTAAACTGTATTTTGTCTTTGTAGAATCTGCTTTTCTAGACTTTTCTAATTGTGCTGCAGTTTATACAATGAATCAAAATCCATTCTGCTATCATATATACGCAATTAAAATAAATATATATGACTGCAGAATGGATTTCGATTCATTGTATACAATTGCAGCACAACTTTTCATTTCTTTGGTTGTACATTCTGGACATTTTGTATCAATGGGAATTATGATTTTTTAAAATATAGAAGCATAGAAGCTTTTTGGGATTTTTCTTAATTCTATAATTTTCATATTTAGAAAATCCTTTTGCTCAGTACTGTACTATTTAGTCCCAGTGCTTGCCATAGATTTAAATTAAAATTGTGGAAATGAGGAATGTCAAAATATTGGTTTCAGGAATCATTCTAACATTTAAAAAATTCTTTGTTAGGAGTAAAGCCATCATTAGGAATTTGGACTCCAGAAGCTATTTGTCTCATGAAAAAAATTGTACAGAACAAAATGGTCACTGTGAAAGTGGTAGACAGGTTGGAAAATAGCTCCCTGGTGGAACTCACAGACAAGTCTCTGACACCCAGTGTCAGTGTCACCAGAGCGCTCATAGACGCTGGCTTTGCTGTGGAGGAAAAGGAGATGGCGACAGATAAACCCAGTGGCATGAAAAAAGCCAGTGGCAGTGGTAAGTTGAAGTGCCTATGAGGTTTCCCGTCTGTGCTGGAGTTCAGGTGGTTCTGCTGGTGGGTTCTTGTGCTTAAGAGTGGGTGTTGAGTGCCTGTCTTCCCCCTTATTTATTTATTTGGTACTGGGAATTAAACTCAAGGGCATCTACCACTGAGCTACTTCCCCAGTCCTTTATTTTTTATTTTCAGACAGGGTTTTGCCCCAAGTTGATTTTGAACTTGCAGTCCTCCTGCCTCGTCTCTCAAGTTTCTAGGATCACAATCATGTGCCATTGGCCCAGCTATGAAACTGGCTTTTTAAGGTTAACTTTCCATTAAAGTCACTCATAATATCAGTGGAAATTTACTTCTTCAACAGATTTCTGAGCAACCCACTTCCTGCCACAGCCTCCCCCAACTCTGTTCATTTCTTGTGCAAAATCTTTGATTACTTTTACAGTTCCCTTGGGTATAGAAGAAGTAAATCCATTGAAGTGGACATGGGTTGAGCTTGCTATTGACCAAACAGTAGATGTCGTGGTCTGCATGATGTATAATCCTGGAGAATTTTATTGCCATGTCCTTAGAGAGAATGGTAAGTTGACTGCTCTTGTTTGTTTCTTTTTACAAATACATTGACATATATGATAATTTATGAGTTTGTTAATAATAAAAGTATTCTCTGAGGAGGTCCAAATGAGAATTGGTATTTCTAAGAGAGATTTGGTTATACTTAGTGGCCTTTTATTTGTCTTAATCTATTGTTTCTACTTTTACTAACCTTTTTTTTTATATTTAAACCAATATAGGTTTCATAGAATGTCTCCTAAATTCATTTTTTGAATTAAATGTAATTATTGATTTTATTGACATATTACATTCATGTGGATAATTACCCGCATAGGAGAATAGCATAATGATTATGACAAGGTTAACACACTTTAGTGTGTGCATTTCTATGGATGGGATCCAGGGGCTCACACATGCTAACCAAGTGCTCTACCACTGAGCTACATCTTACATTGAGACAGGCTAGTCTCAAACTTGTACTACCCTCCTGCTCAGCCTCCCAAGTACCTGGGATTACAGGTATGTACCTCTGGGCCAGCTAAGGTCAGCACACCTCTATAGCTGGTCTCTTAAGTCAAGACATAGAACATTACCAGTATCCCAGAAGTTTCCTTTATGTCACCTTTTATCATTGCCCCTTCTCTTTTTTTTCCAAAAGGAAACCCTATTCCACCTTCTTATAGCATCAATTAGTTTTTCCTTGTTTTGTACTATATGTAAATGGAATCATACAATACATGCTTTTCTTTGTTTTGTGTGGTTTTAATGCTGTGAGAGTGGTGTTGCCTGTAGCTGTGCCTATGCCACACTCCGTTGTACTGCAGCCTGGTATTCCTTTCTACCATTGGATATCTGTCTGGCTTTCAGTTGGGGCTATAAAATGATATTGGAGTGAACATTCTAGTACAATTTGGTAATCATGCATTTCTGTTGAGTCTATACCCAGGAATGAAATTCCTGGGTCATAAGGAGGATGCATGTTTTCAAAGCAGTGAATGCCAGTTTCCAAGTGATTTTAAAAATTGTTAGAGATTTCTGATTGTTCTGGATTTGTACAGACTACTTTGTATTTTCATTTTTTGTTTAATTCACTCTGATGGGCAGCATTGATTTTTAACTTTTCTAAAATCCTCTGTCAAGATTCAGACATTAAACTAGATAACTTACATTCCATTCTGAGGTTTCTGAGTTTTGTAATTCTTTCATTCAAAATCACCTGGTTGATGGGACCACTATTTCCTATAGTGAAAAACTAAATTTTTTCCTTTTAATTTATTTTCACAGGTGATTTTATAAGCATGTTGGTACAAAACTCAAAAGTTAGTAAAGAGTATAGAGTGGAAAGTTAATTTACCACTTCCTTTCCTCAGTTTTCTAAATGTCTTTTCAGAAATATTTTATTCATGCTTACATGATTTCTTTATTCCTAACTGATAAAACAGTGTAAATCACTTTCATACTTTACTTTTCTCCCACTGTATCTGGTAAATAAGTTCACATAGTGATTTCTCCATTGACTTTCTTTTTGATGCATTATTAATTTTGGAATTATTTACAGAGAATTGGGCAGAGGTGGAATGGTCCTGCACACTTCTCATACTTAAGTGTGACTTAAACACCTTAGTAGTTAACACAGGGCATGATTGTGGTGCATTTGTTACAACTGAGAGACCAGCAGTTTGTCACTAGCAACTGAATGCCAGACTTGGCTTGTATCTTGCAAGGTTTCCTCTCATCCTTGCTGTATTCCAGGTCCAGCCCAGGACACCTCATTGCTGTTTAGTCTGCATTCCACTCTTTGTCAGGGTCACAAGTCTTCCATCACATGGATTTATGCTAGTTTAATTAATCTAGATGTGGATGAAGAATTAGTTTCCAGGCTTTTATTACTAAAATGCTCCTTGTACTCTGATTTTACTCTAATAGTATGTCCTTGGGACAGATCCTGAAAATTGTCATCCTTGGGTCAAAGGATATGTGGCTGGCCAGGAGCCCTGGAACAGCAACAGTGTGCCACGTTCTAAACCCTTTCCAATATAGAGTCCTCACACTTTTTTATTTTAACTAACCTGAAAGGTGAAAACTCTAAACTGGTTATGATTAAATTTCCATTTCTTTGAGCCTTTGTTACGTAAGAGCCACTTGGCTGGCCCTTCACTGCTGCTTTACCTTACATTATAATGTGCTGCATGGTCTGTGTCTTCAAGCTGCTGCTGTTCTGCGGTGGCTCCCCTTTCTATTTCTCTGATCTGCCAGGCTTCTTCTCATCAGATGGTTTTTGGTTGCCTAATTCTGTAGCTCTGTACTGTGTCTCAGAGCTGCTTCTGCTTTTGGAGCACCCTTTGCTTTCCAGCAAATGTTCTGCACTTCTCTGTAAAGCCTCTAGCAGGAAGAGCTCATGAGCTCTCTGAATTTCCTCAGCTCTATTAACTTTGCTGTCAATTTAATAACTATGTTTATTCTTTCCAGGATATCTTTTATATAGCTTTATGTAGGGTTTATGTCATGTTTCCTATCACCTGCAGAGCTCATGTTGGTATACTGATGATAATGCTGTAGGATTGTGTCTCTGCCCAGTAAGTCCTTGGTAGTGGATTGAGAGTATTAACAATGACTTTTTGCTTAATAATTTTTTGGTAAGAAAAAATATTTGGTGCACTTAATGGTTGTTTGAAAAAGGTTTTTGTGATCAAAACATTTTCTGACTTTAAAGGAAAATTTGTGTTGGTATTTATTTTTAATATTAAATGCTATACATGTGTTTTATTTTTAGCTTTAAAGAAGCTCAATGATTTGAATAAATCATTAGCAGAATATTGCCAGCAGAAGTTGCCGAATGGTTTCAAGGCAGAAATAGGGCAACCTTGTTGTGCTTTTTTTACAGGTAAGCTGTCATTTTGACTATTACAAACTTTTGTTTCTTGACTTTCAGCTTTCATTTTTAGTGTGTATTTTATTTCTAGTTTTTAAGCACGTTTCTCATAACCAAAATTAAATGAGTGCTTCAGATATCAAGTGTTTTTCCTTTTAGTAACTCCAAATGTTTACCAAGGTTTTAGTTCTTGCTAAAACCTTAGTAAACATTATTTCAATGCTTTTCTTTCCAGAATTTCTGATATTAAATTAAGTTAGTAAAAGAGCTGTTTACAGAATAGAATAGACAATATGATTGATAATGTACATTCCATGTATGTATTATATGTCAAAATGCATTCTACTGTCATGTATGACTAAAAAAATAAATAAATAAAAATTTTAAAAAAGAGCTGTTTAATACAAGGTGGTTGTTTTTTCTGGTCCATCAGTTGATGTTAATTTTGAAAAGAATGCATTGGAACACATTTGCCAGAGTTTCAGTGCAAGAATCTCTCTATTCTTTTTAATATTATTTAGCCAAGTAACAGGTAAAACAATCTAAGCCATTAGTAGTATTATAAGCCTTTATCATTAACAAGAATGTTCAAGTTTTACCTCCACTTTCACAGTTCTGCTTTTTTGGCTAGCTTATGAATGAAATCTTTATATCAGATATAAAATTGTGGTACTACAAAAGTTTTGAAGATAGTTCTAAAAATGGATTTTGAAAAGTCTGAGTCTAGGGATTTTTAGTGAAAATCTGGGGAAAAGAGCAGACTTATTAGCACTTTATGTAAAGGTATTTCCCCCCCCAAGATAAAACCTTCAGACATTAACAGAAGGGAAGTGTTCCACATCACCAACTTTGTGTTAAATCCAGGCGATGGTAACTGGTATCGTGCTTTGGTCAAGGACATTTTACCAAGTGGAAACGTCAAAGTGCACTTTGTAGATTATGGAAACGCCGAGGAAGTTACTACAGATGAACTCCAAATGATACCATCAAAATTTTTACAACTTCCATTTCAAGGGATACAGTGCTGGTTAGCAGGTTTGTATAGAATAAAATTTTTTTAAAAAATTGTTTTTAAGAGAGAGAGAGAGAGAGAGAGAGAGAGAGAATTTTTTAATATTTTTTAGTTTTCGGCAGACACAACATCTTTGTTTGTATGTGGTGCTGAGGATCGAACCCGGGCCGCACGCATGGCAGGCGAGCACGCTATCGCTTGAGCCACATCCCCAGCCCCTGTATAGAATAAAATTTTTATCAGCTGTTTTCTAATATCAGGATATATAGCATTCTAACTAGTTACAGCTATAATTGTAACGTTTTATGTGAGGGATGTCTGGAGTTGATGTCAGACAAGGGGGTGGTGGCTGCTGCTTTCTAGTGCATTTTGCAGAATTCCTTAAGAGCCTCAAATGTTCAGAATTTTGATTTAGCAACTTTATTTCTAGTAATTTATCCCAAAGCACTTTGGGAGTGGCACAAAGTTCAGCTTTAAGGAAATACATTACACTGCTGCTTTACTGATAGCAAAACAACATCAGTTGGCTAAATGATAATCTGTATAGTGGCTAGTGATCGTACTTGTTTTACAGGGTTGTTGTGAGGATAGATTAATGTTTAGACATTCAAAGTTCCACTTATGTGTTTGCATTCTGTCATAAAAATGAAACAAAATTGTTAACAGGAAGATTGTGATGTAAGTGAAGAAAGCAAGTTTAAAAAGAGATGCAGGACAGCAATGTGATGCAAAGAACAGACTCTAGAGTCATCTCTGCCACTTAATGACTGTAACATTTATGCAAATTATTTAAACTTTCTGTGCTTTCATTTCCTTGTCCAGAAAAGAATATTGCCTTCCTCAGAATTGTTCAGAATAAATGAGATAAAGATATAAAGCTCTTAACTGTACTTGGCATTATACCTATATTCACTGTTACTATTTTTCAGTGCTGGGGATTGATCCCTTGCAAGGGCTAGTTGATAAGCATTCTACCACCAAACTACATGCCCAGCCCTTTTTGTTTTGAAACAGAATCTCACTAAATTGGCCAGACTTGCCTAGAATTTTCAGTCCTCCTGATTCAGCCTCCCAAGTAGCTGGGATTACAGATGTGAACCATCATATGTCTGATTTATAAACATTTCCTAGAGATATGTGTGTCTATGTGTGTGTGAATATACACATGTTTTTCCATCTGCACATAAAAACTGGAAGCAGCCAGGCACAGTGTTGCACACCTAAAGTCCCAGTTACTTTTTGGAAGTTTGGATTTCAAAATGTTAATAGTATATGTTAGAAACCATAGATAATCATCATCTTATCTTTTGTCTGTTTTCCTTCTATACATAAGTATATTTCTTTTTTAAAAAATATTTTTTAGTTGTCAATGAACCTTTATTATATGTTATTATATTTATTTTATTATATGTTATATGTGGTGCTAAAAATTGAACCCAGTGCCTCACACATGCTAGGCAAGCACTCTACCATCCCTTCCAATAAGTATGTTTCAGATTATTGTTCTTAATTATTATGTTTCTATGTCAGTGCTTTTTAAAATTTGGCCCCAAAATCTAGCAGCATATTAAATGAGAAATTCTGGGGCAAGACCCAGAAATCTCTCTCTCGCTCGCTCTCTTTTTTTTTTTTTTTTTTTTTGGTACCAGGGGTGCTTAATCAGAGTCACATCCCAGACCTTTTTTATGTTTTATTTTGAGTCAGGTCTGGCTAAGTTACTGAGGACAGCTTTGAACTTCAAGTCCTCCTGCTTTACCCTCCCTAGCCACTGGGATTATAGCATGAGCCCTCATGGCTGGACAGAAATCTGTTTTTAACAAGCCCTCTAAACTGAACCTGTAATTCAGCTCCATGGCTGAATTACAGATAGATAGATAGATAATTGAACAACAGATAGATGGATAGATAGATAATTGAACAACAGATAGATGGATAGATAGATAATTGAACAACAGATAGATGGATAGATAGATAATTGAACAGGGTAAGCAGTTACTCAGAATTGCTGAATGGAATGGCAAGGACCCATCCTTGGCTACTACTATGGAAGCAAAAATGCAGCTTATGCATTGGATTCTTTTTATTGCTGTTCTTATTTTCCAGATATACAGCCTAGAAACAAACACTGGACTAAAGAAACCATAGCAAGATTTCAGATGTGTGTTGCAGGGATAAAACTCCAAGCCAGAGTGGTTGAAATCACTGAAAATGGGGTGGGAGTTGAACTCACCGATCTTTCCACTTCCTATCCCAGAATAATCAGTGATGTTCTTATTAATGAACATCTGGTTTTAAAAGCTGGATCCCCACACAAGGACATGCCAAATAATAGACCTGTTAATAAACGTAATCATCAAATTGACACCCAGGGGCTTCAAGGTAATACTTCTTTCCCTTTTTAAAAATTATAGTTCTATATAATAGTGGAGATATTGTGATGTATCCATATGTTCATACAACATGATTTGTTCCATTTCATTTCTTTTTTTAAAATTTTTTTTCTTAGTTGGACACAATACTTTTATTTTATTTGTTTTTATGTGGTGCTGAGGATTAACCCAGGGCCTCGCAGGTTCTAGGTGAGTGCTCTACCGCTGAGCCACGACCCCAGCCCCTGTTCCATTTCATTTCTTACTTCACCTGCCCTCCCTTCCTTTCTTCTCTGATCTATTTATTATTTATTTTAACTGGTACATTATATTTATACATAAAGTGGAATTCATTATGATCTATTCTTACATGCACTTAATTTGGTTGATTATCATTTCTCCGTTTCTCCTTTTAATTCATGTGTTATTTAAATTTGTTAGCCTTTGTTTTTATAGGCTATGAAAATTCTTCTATCTTAAATTACACAATTTTCCTGTAGAAATTTTGAGTATAGATTAATAATTGGTTATTAAGCTCCATATTTATTGAAATATTTTTAATTGATCAAACATTGTGCTCATTTTTTTGGTTATCAGGTAAATGTATATCATATGGGTATGTATCCCTTAAAGTTTGAGAAAATTTGAAGAATTATATTAAATATACTACATAAATGTCCTTTGGGAGTGTAATAGTTCAAGGATTCTCATTATAGACTGAACTTTTTTTTTTGAATAGTGTCCATATAATCCCTTAAATTGAACAGATTGTTTTGTGAAATACAGATTTTTCTTTTTGGGAATTTGGGAATGCTGATAATCGGCAGTTGATGAACAAATTGATTTGAACTAATAAATCACTGGGAAAGAAGAGTAAATTTTATCCATTTAATGCAAAACCTGTGTTTTATGACTTCAGCCACCTCTTCAGCAGAGAATTGGAAGACTATAGAATTGCCAGTAAATAAAACTGTGCAAGCAAGCATACTAGAAATCATAAACCCAAACCTGTTTTATGCCATCCCAGATGAGATGCCAGGTAAGGAACCAAATGGATCAACACATGTTTATTCTCCTCTTTTAAGCCGTGCAATGAAAGTGATCATCGTGAACTCCTCAGGAAGTGAAGGGAAGAAGAGGTGGGTGATGATTTTTAAGGAAGAATTGATCATAATGACTTAGGGCAAGTTTAGTTCCCAAAGCACAGATGTGAACAGAAAGGGAGCATCCTGCATCTATCACCCTCTCAGTGGCCTGGCCCTGAAAACCTACAGCTTTTTGTACTAAAACCAGTGCCCTTAATTATCATATAATTTTTTATTTAATATCATGTTATCTATACTGAATTGTATTCACTGAGCCTTACTTCCTACAATCTTTTGAGTTTGAACCAAAACCACTTCAAATTTATGGAAAGACTTAGTAATAAATTCCTAATCATATTTTGTCATATCTTAGAAACTTGAAATATACTGGAGATAATCATGAAGAAAATGCATGTTGAAGTGATTTTTAATTTTCCTTTTCTTCGTTTCATGGAAGTTTACAATTGAGGATCTCTTAAGTGTATGTGAAATTATTCTTAGTATCTGAAGGTGAATTTGGTTCAAGTTGGTGGTGTCCATTGAAATAATTTGTAGCTGAAATAATTAAAAGCTGAAAAAAACGAACCTTTCTTTCATATTGGCAGACCTAGAATTGTAGTAATACCAATAAAAGAATTGTAGTAATACCAATAAATTCTTAAATTTATCTCCAGTATTACAAAAACCATCTTTAATCCATATTGTAAAAAGCAGGGATTCAGGGTTATTTGATCCTGACCACATATGGCATGATGAATTGGAAATAACATTCAGGATGATTTTATTGAGTATAGGACACATACACCTAACTGTCATAAAGCACAGTTTAATAAGATTCATGGAGTGAACACATGAATGTAACCACCTGATCAAGAAATGGGCCCTTCATAGGTTTCTTTCACGCCTCCTCCCAGTTTTGCATTCCTTCTGCAAAAGGCAACCAATAGTGGATATATTTATTTTGAAAATATAATGTAACCAGGCATAGTGCCACACACCTGCAATACCAGCTGCTCAGAAGGCAGAGGCAGGGGCATTGTAAGTTCAAGGCCAGCCTGGGCAATTTAGCAAGAACTTGTCTCAAAATAAAAAGGGGTGGAGGATTTAGACCAATCGTAGAGAACTTCTGGGTTCAATCCCTGGTACAAGCTCTAACACACACACACACACACACACACACACACACACACACATATACATACACACATTCTCTCTCTCTCTCTCTCTCTCTCTATATATATATGTATATATATAGTTTGTGTAATATTTGTTATATATTTGTATATAGTGTGTATTTTAAATATGCAAAGGATTTTTATTAGACTTTGTATTCTTTTATATACTATTAGTAATAGCATTGGAAAGTTTTTCACAAGAGATTGCTTCTATTTCTTTTAGAAAATCAAGAAAAACTGTGTATATTGACAGCTGAATTGTTAGAATATTGCAATGCTCAGAAAAGCTGTCTGTCCTACAGACCAAAAATTGGAGATGCATGCTGTGCCAAATACACAAGTAAGTTTCTTAGGTAAAATATTAAAGGAAAAATGTTTAGTGTGCTCCCTTTTTTATGAGATTTTGTAGATTTTGATATATTAGATGCATGTTTCATTTGGTTAGAGAAGAAATACAGAGTTGTGAATTTAATTCTTATATTGGTCATTCAGCATTTCTGTGCTTTGTAGATTATTTTTAGGCAAACTACACAAATATGTCAGTACTTACAGGTAACCATATTCTACTATGTAACATTAAGGATATACAGTCTAATATATATGAATGTAAATTTACAATATATGAATTTACTGGAAGAAGAATGAATGGCCTCAGGAAGTCAAGACTAATTATAGTCTACTTTAACCACTCATGTTTAGTATTTCATGTTAACAGATTGCCATTGCTAGCAAATAACACTATTCTGGCTTGTTTCTAGGATTGAGGTGAAGTGGAACTGCAACCAGTTTACCAGACCTTTTAGGGTCTGTGTAGGGTCTGTTACTAGGGCCTGGGTGGGCATGGCTCCTGCCATTTTTCAGGCAGATGGGGCTGGTGGCAAGAAGGTAGCCCAGCAGTGCTAGAGCTGAGTTCACAGGGGAACAGGGCTGCTCTTGATCAGTAGCAGGACTGGGGCTCAGGTCAGCCTTCCCAGAACAACCCTCCTCAGACTTGGGCTCCTGGGGTCTTAAAACCACCTGCCTGAGACCCAAGGGAACTTCTGTTCTTAGATGGCACCATATTGTTGCTTTGGTGGGGAAGGGCACGAACTTGCTACACTTTCACCTTGCTGAAGACACTCCCTAGTTTTTTATGACAACTGGATTTGCACCGCCCCTCTTCCCCTCTTCTTCCCCTCTTTTGTTTCCCAATAGAAGTTGTGATTTTTAGTTAAATAAGTATTTATGATGACTTGATAAAGAGCTGAGCCATGCTGTAGTCCATGATTCTGGTTCTCATTTGCAACTTCTGTTGTTAATGTGTTATACTTTCCCTATCTCCAGTTCTCTGTATTAGCATAAATTCCCTCCAAGAACTCTGTGTACTTGATCAACTTTTATTCTACTCAAGACATCTTCAGCCCTGCTCCTATCCAGGCTGCTTGTCCTCCAGCCTGTGGCTGTCCTCTTGGGATTTCCCTTCCCCACTGAGCTTTGAAGACTGTTTCAGCACTCCCCCTCTGTTAACTGGATTTTTCCTTCTCTCAGCTCAACTTGATTGCTTTCACCTTATTTCCCTTTTGATTTTACTCCAATATTAAGGTGGATCTTATCTTTCAGAATCTGAGAAGGGGTGTGAGTAAGATAAATTTCTTACTCCTATGTTTGAAAAAGTCTTTAACAGTTGATCAATAGCTTATCTGGGTGTATGATTCTAGATTAGAAGTCATTTTCCCCTTGAAATTTTGAAGGCATTGCTTTTATTGTGTTTTAGCTTTGGTGTTTTTTATCAAAAGGTAAACATTATCCCAGACTTTCCCAACTTTGTACATATTTTTAATCCTCTCTGGAACCTTCAGTATCCTCCTCTTGTATTTGAAATGCACAGTACAGCTTGGTGTGGTGCTTTCTTTGTACCTTTGCGCTGGGCACTCAGTGGAACCTTAAGTCCAGAAATTTATGGGCTTCAGTTTTTCTGAATTTTCCTGAATCAGTGCTTTCATTCCCTTCTTTTGTTTTCTAATGTTGGACTCAAAATCTTCTGCTCAATTTTGGTTTTCTTTCATTCTTTTCTCCTTTTTCAAGAGACCTCCTCAATTTCAACTTCCAGCTTTTCTCATTGAAGTTTTCATTTCAGATACCACATTTCTAGTTCCAGTGTCTTTTGATTTTTTTCAGGTGTGTGTGTGCATATGTTTAATACTGTTCTGTTCTTATTTCAAGAAACGAGTGTCATTTCTCCAAGGATATTACATTTGTTCTTTCAATTTTCATTGTTTCTCCAAAGTCCTGTTTTGTTTCTTTTGCGCTTCTGTGGCACATTAGAGGCTTTCTTCAACTCTGTGGTGATCCCTTGTTATTCACATGTCTAAGATGGAACTGTGCGGTTCTTTGGGGATTTCTTTCTGAGTAGCTGGTCCACTATTGGTCTTGAGCAGGTTGATCTGGCTCTGCCGTTGTACTGGGCACTGCCAGGGTTGGCAGCTGGATGTGCTCTCACCTGGGCTGGTTGTCTGCTGCCCAGAGTGCTCCAGTTCTTAGCAAACTCTTCCTCCTCTGCTCAGTCTCACGTTCCCCACCACACGGTCTCTCTGGAAGAGGAATCTCTAGTCTTCTACAGTTGTAGGAGCAGTTGTCTGGAACCATTTCAGAAAGGTATGTGAAGCTGTATTAAAACATGTGAGCATAAAGCTTTTTAGTAACTTTAAAAATAGAGCTGGGAATGAGGACATTATAATATCTATCTTTACTCCTGCTTTTGAATGAGTAGCACCAGTTATTAAGCCTTGGGGTCTGGGGATTTGAGGTACAAACTGGGCTGCTGCCTGACCCCCAGCTTTGGCTAAGCTACCATGGATCTGATAAATCATTTCCATTCATACATCTGTTTTGCAGACTTCTGGTATTATATGAGTTTCTCTTTTGGTCACTGTACTTATGATTAAAAACAAAAATCCCATTGTCTTTTTAGTAGGATTTGGAAGGAATAGAGGTAAAGCTGGACTCTAACCATAAACCTTGGCATGAATTTTTAAGTGATGTGAATGTAATTTATGAAAAGGCATCTGAGGTAGGAGGGATTGTTGACTGATCTTCTCAGCTAAGCAAGCGTCTGTTCTGTTTTCAGGTGATGATTTCTGGTACCGTGCGGTTGTACTGGGGATATCAGACTCTGATGTGAAAGTGCTCTATGCAGACTATGGGAACATCGAAACCCTGCCTCTTTCCAGAGTGCAGCCAATTGCTGCCAGCCACCTGGAGGTCCCTTTCCAAATCATTAAATGTTCACTTGAAGGTAGATAAATCAGTTTCCACTTTGTGTGTCTTGTGAGATTGTTTTTCTCTTTGTTTCACATCTCTGAGTCTGAATCAGTTGTGTATTTTAAGTAATTGCTCAAATTTCTAAATGTCAAAAGAGTTTTCAAAGAAATTTCACATTATTTTTTAACTCTCACAAAAACTATACTCAGATGATCTGTCTTTGTTATGTGGCTTATTTTCAGAGCGTTGAGTTTCAGAGGTTGTTTTGCCCCCTCTGGAAAAGCTCTAGAAGTGCCTGGGGCAATGGTCTGACCCCCCTCTTCCAGGGTCTTGCTGCCTTGTCACAGCTCTCCTTAGGGACCAGAGACATTGCAAATGACACCATTCCTTTTTTTTTTTTTTT